TTATAAGTCACCTTTTGTATCAATTTAATACATTGTGGTAGACATTGTTTTATGCAAATTCAGAAGCCTATAGGTAATGAATTGTATATTGTTCTTGGATGAAGCTTTGAAGAAAATCCATGTATGTTTGTTAGTCAAGAGTCTTGACTAAACTGGTTGTAATTGATATAAATATCATTGAGGTGATTTAGGAAGTGAGATGTTGATTTATCATTTTTAAGGAGAACCTTGGTAGAAGTTGCATTAGTTGGGGATTAGGCGAGAAGTTGTAAACGGGGGAGTTTAGCTTTAAAATAATACTGCTGATAGTATATTTCCTTCCTGGCTTGGTAGCCCTCAAAGTAGGTGTTGTTGTGTACCGAACTGGGTCATCATATTTGTGTGTTACTATCTTTATGTTTTGTTCAGTTTTGTTTTTGATTGATTAACATGTCGTATAAGATATTGGAATATCTGTTACGATTCGAGACTGATAAGTTCTGTATCAGTTTGTTGTTTTTTCCCATGAGTTTTTTTGTAGAGATCAATGTCTCAACATGTGTTAGGACATGTATAATATGTATATCATAATTTCAATTGGTATCAGAGCAGGAATTCTATATGTTTCAAGATGAGATCAGGGAAGATAATTTCTGGTTAATGGACTTGAAGGAAAAATGTGTTTTTTGTAGCTTTAGTGATGAGCTATTGTGTTAGGTTTGATTTATTTTCAAACCTAAGTTGTTTTGTTGGCACCTGTATTGTGGTGCTTGTGTACAAGAGTGATTAAGCCATGCCTGAAGGTTGTTGAGGAGTTTTTGTTTGTTCCGCTGTAACTGATAGAAAACTCATGTTGGTTCCTGGTGTATCTGGTGCTTGAGGTTGTAGGGAGGTTTTCCCTTGAAATATAATAAGGAAGTGCCTTACGATATATTCCTATTTGAAAGTGTATCTTGTTTTTTATTAATACTTGGAGGTTGTTTCAACCAGCCTGCTAAAGTTGCCAAAGATACTTGAGGATTATCTCAAGTCCACTCATAAAGGCACCTTTTAGGGAGTTTATTGAAAAGAGATCTGAAGAAAGTAAGAAGTAATTTATTTTTGCTTTCAAACCTAAAAGGTCAATCTCCAGCCTTTGCCAAAGGATCTATTGGTGTGTTCCTTGGAATGATGTTCTATCGGATGTTAGAACTTCACGTCAGCAAGTTGTGCAGAACTATGTTGGCTAAAGGAATGGCATTACAGATGCTTTGGATGCTAAACAAATGTGTGTTGATCACATATGTTTGGAACCTTCTCCTAATCTAGAAGAGGAGGTATCTTGGTTGTGTGTCTAATAAGTTTCTTCCCTAGAGACACATCTTATATAAGTGTGATGGTCAAGACATTGCTTACTGTCGCGTGTGAGATTTTCATCAAAGTGTGAAGGGAGGCGAAAGACAAAAGAGTCGCCATCAATGTTATTTAACCCAAGAGAGGGAAAGTAAACACTGAGTAAACCTGAGGGAAGGAAAGGAGCATGGTCATTACGACCAAGACAAATAGATAAGAAAGTCGGTTATGCAAGGGCAAGGTGTTAGCACCCCACGTGTCTGTGGTACTCCACATGATCCACTTAAGTTTGTTCTAATATAAGGGTGTGTCTAATCTATGTCTAAAGCTTACTGCTAACGGGATGCATGGATGCAAAGTATTATGTACAAAAATAAGTTTTTGTTAGTCGTGCCTGCCTCGGTTGCGAACCTTCGTGCCTACGTACCACCGACCATGCAATGGGGATCAAGGCACTCTAGTTCACGTCAAAAGTTTTGGTGAGTTGTATGTTTTTTATGAACAATTCTAGCGAAGCATGTCCTTTTTTAAAAAGATTTTAAAAGAAAAAGTCCAGAGACAAAAAGGTTTGCATTGATTGGTATTTTTTACCTTGGAAAAGGGTTTTGCAATTTTAGAGTGTTTTGCGAATTTGCCAAAGAAAAGATTTTTTGTTTTAATGCAAATGCCAAAGGAAAACCTAAGCAAAAGGGGAAGCATTCACAAGGGATGGCGTGCAATGGAAGCCAGCAAACATCACATAGGAATAGGAAAAGGGATGTTAAAACATTGATCAAACAGACACCTAACAATGGTATCGTGTCACAAAGTAGGATAGAAAAGATAAAAGGGGTGATAGAACACGAACAACTAACAATAGTATCACGTAATCAAAGTAGGATAGAAAATGATAAAAATACGGTAATACATCAACACCTAACAATGATATCAAGTCATCAAAGTAGGATAAGAAAAGATAGTAAAACATCAACACATAACAATGATATCGGGTCATCAAAGTAGGATAGAGAAAGAGATAGCAAGTAATGAACACCTAGCAATGATATAATGTCATCAAAGTAGGATACAAGCAATAGGAAATGATGGAAAAACATCGATCAAGCATACACCTAACAATGGTATCGAGTCACCAAGGTAGGATAGAAATGATAAAAAGGGATAGCAAAACATTCACTCCTAACAATGGTATCAAGTCATCAAAGTAGGATTATAAGCGATAAGAAACGATGGAAAAGCATTGGTCAAACATACACCTAACAATGGTAACGAGTCACCAAAGCAGGATAACAAAGATAGAAACGATGATGAAACATCGAGCAAACATACACCTAACAATGGTATCAAGTCACCAAAGTAGGATAACAAAGATAAGAAATGATGATAAAACATCGATCAAAATGTACACCTAACAGTGGTATCGAGTCACCAAAGTAGGATAACAAAGATAAGAAATTATGATGTAACATCGATCAAAACGTACACATAACAGTGGTATCAAGTCACCAAAGTAGGATAACAAAGATAAGAAAGGATGATGGAACAACGATCAAAACGTACACTCAGAAAGAAAAATGTCTAAGGGGGAAAAGCTAGCAAAATATCCCTAAAGTCATCCTGCAAAGTCGTTCTTATAGTTGGGGGGTCAAGGGAGATCTTATCTAATGTTGGCATGCATAGATTCAAACCTAAGGTCTAATTAGTTAAAACTTGAAGGAGAATGAATTAACAATCCTAGGGGAGCATGTGATCATGCAATAGAAAGCAAACACACAAAGCTTGAGGAGTATCCACTCACTCAAGTGGCACACACCAAAACGAGGTATCATGTCACTAAGGTAGGAAGGGGAGATGGATAACACCTAACCATGATATTGAGTCATCGAGGTAGGATGAGGAACGTGGGACACCTAACCATGATATCATGTCATTAAGGTAGGGTAAAGAGAGGCTTAACCAATATATTGAGTCATCGAGGCAAGCAAAACTGTAGGAAATCAGTAGCTCTTAACCGTGATATCAATTCATCAAGGCAAGAAGAATAATGGGTGTCGACCCTTAACCAAGATATCATGCCATCTAGGTAAGAGAAGAACAAAAGTGAATCGTCATAGGCGACTAAACACCTAACTAAGATATCGTGTCATCTAGGTAGGCGATGGAAGGCAATAATGAGATCACATCAAAGCCTCAACATTTGCACATGTGAGCTAAAGATAAAGCCTGGGGGATTGGCTATAGATCCTTGTATTCCACTTGACGGACTCGATGACAAGAGTAGAACAACTTGGGGACTAGAAATGGCGGGGTCGATTGCGGACCCTCTACTCGCCCTACTTCCTTTTGAGGACTTATCAATGGGGAATGGGACACCTTCTTTGAGGTCTTTGGGCACAAAGATAAACACACAGAATCGCCTTCATGGAGGACTTTTAAACAAGCAAGTACAAGAACAAGTAGGAATTGCCTTAACCAAGGTCTTTAAATAAACCAGATTTTCCTCAAAGGGACTCCCATAACATGCATCTCTAGTCCTACTTCTCATGACAAGGAAAACAATAAATAATCATGCATCTCTATCCTACTTCTCATGGAAAGGTAAATTGAAAATAATGAAAAAATGAGGAAGTAAAGAGAACTCGAGTGGTACCTAACAGAGAAAGTTTGTTGCTTCTTCAAAGTTGTGCAAGTAAAAAGCTCAAGCAAGATGTCTGAATTTTCAAACAATCCATTGAAAAATCGATCACAACAATTATCAAAAGAAAATATAATGAGAGTATCCAGGAGGTGTAATTCTGCAGAAAGTGGTGTACTCCATCAAATAGAAACTTGGGCGCTAGGCCCATCAACATAGTCTAACCATTATTTTGTTTTACCAACATCGAAATGCCCAAAAAAGAAAAAAAAATGCATATTGGACTCAAATTAGGGAAGTCTCAGTCCATCATTATCATAACATAGTGGCCCAGTTTCAACTCAGCTATTTTGTTATTCATCTTCTTTAAATTAAAACAATAAATAAAGATTAAGAGAGAAATTAGGGCTTAGCTTGTGATTGTTTGTATCCCTCTCAAGAGTTTGTCCCCTTCTCCGCGGCACATCCCTTACTCAACCTTCTCCGATCATACAATTTTTTTTGCCGTATACTTCAATTGGCTTCTCCTTTGTAGTGCCACTCATCATCTCTCACGATCCTCATCTTCCGTTTAGCCTTAAAGCTCGGTCTCACGGACTCCGTTCAATTTCACTCTAATTTCGCTTCAACCTTCATTCCTGATCATGAAAGAGACGCAATAAATTATCGAGAAAAGGAAGCATCGACCTCACCTATAGGGAGTAATTTTCAGCGGACATTCAACCACGACATCATCGATGATGAAAAATAATCTCTTCGAGAATTCAGGTTCGTCTTCGTGTCTGTTATTTCCTTCTCCTACTCTTTCTTCGATTTCAATTTCTTACTACTCTTTCTTGACTTATTTTGTGAATTATGGAGCTCTTAAGGAATCATTGTTGTCGTTGCGGATGCAGAGAGCTATGCGAAGATGCGTTGAAGGATTGAATTAGAATGATAAAGATTGTGCAGAGAGTCCAAGTTGTTAATGGAGATAGAAGATTCGGTCACAGAAGGATCTTTTCAGAGATTTTTAGAGAAGGTGAAGATGAAGGTTTTGCAGAGAGAGAAAATGGAATCAAGGTTGAAGATGAAGATGAGGCTTAAAGGTGAAATGCGATGAAGATTCAAGCGTAAATATTATGGAAGATAGAATTGAAGAGAGAATTGAAAGGTGAGTCTCGGAGTTTTTTGTGGTTTTTTTTGTGAATGGAGGATGAAGATTGAGGGAAGAAGAAGAGGTTTTTTCGGTGATTCTTCCAATTGTGAAGAATTGATTGAACCCAAGTATGAACTCTGTTACTAAATGTTTAAAGGTTGGTTAGATAATTTCTATTTAGAAGTTAGTTGTTATTAACTGTTATTTAGAAACGGTTAGCAAGTTAGAAGCTAGTTGCAGTTTGTTATATACCGTGAAATTCATTTATGAATGTTAGCCGAAGTTGTTAGAATGAGTTAGCCTTTGGTTCAACTTGAGTAAAACGGATTTACTTGTTTAATTCTAAGCGGAACAGTTTGTTGGTTCATTGGTTTTTCTGAATTAATGAAATCCCACGGTTTCCTTTTTTATTCCCCCAATAATTATGCTTCTGACTTTTTTGATTTCTCAAACAAATTAGTATGCAGTTTTTTCCTGATGTTTCCTAATTTAATCTTCCATGGTTCCCTCTTCCATCCTCTTTTATATTTTTTGTTCAGAGTTTTTGGTTCTGATTTTGAGCAGGGGCATTAGTTTAATTTGCTTGAGTGCAGGGCTGATATTTTATGATGTTGTAGGGCATAACATGTTTCAGCTATGGAATGATAGCATGAGGGCAGCGGTATGTTCCAATGGCAATCCTAGTATTGATCAGAGATAGGCTAGCAGTTAGCATGGATCTGTCTGTGATTCAAAACGCGGATGTACGAGTGTTAATGATTGTTTTCTGGAATGAACTTGCGTTGCAGGGCTGGCTTTAATGGTTGAACGGATCATTGTTTATTTTGAAACAAATTGTGGGTTTTGAAGTTTTATTACGGCACATGTACAAACTGAGATTGGCTTTCAAACATAGGCAATGTTGAAAGATGAGGTTGGAAGCATACTATGGGCATAGAGATTAGGATATATTTATTTTTGTTTGTTATTTTTTATGTGAAATGGTCTCGTAAACTCACAAGTGCAATTGTAATGAATATGTGATGTACCCTTGTAATGGCCATGGTTTTTGAGACCTCGTAATGGAAATAGTTTTATATCTCTTGAAGCCTTGATGAACATGGCATTAAAAATGAATTTTTGTGAATTTAAATAAGACGCTCTTCAAAACATGTTTCTAGGTTTTCAATCTTTCTTCTAATTGAAATGGTGTTTGATGGAATTATGATATGACAAAGTGTTAGGTCACTATGCCTTAATCTTGTGAGAGAAACATTTGTCTTGTGAACTTAGCAATTCGTAACTTATAACTTACATTCCAAGAAACTCTTATGAATAAGGTTTCCAATCTTGCTTGAATCAAACTCTTGAAAACAAACCAATGCTTAAATTTCTTAATTTAATTTTATTATCCTCTGAACATTTCACTTCAAGACTTAATAAATGAATTCCAACTAACTTGCATATTCAATGAATAATTCCTGAAATTATGGTATGACATAGGATTCAATCCAATGAAGCATATTCACGCATGAACATAGTCAAGAAAATGACTTTTCCATATTGCCTTTGCCCAAAATCAAAGCCTTTATTCATATGCTTCTAACTCACTTAATTCTCCCTTGCATCATATCATATCATGTATTGTGCTTCGCGCTTTTGTAATTCAAACCACAAACATGTCCACTTGAAAACGCAAGGCTAAAGTCCTCAAGGAATTCCCTTGAAGAAGATAATTTTTTATGCACAGAAGAAGATATCTTGGCACACAACATAATGCTCTATGAGAAAATCCTTTGATGAAAAACAAAACCCTAATCTCATGATATTATATTAACGCACATGCTCACACATAAGGAACGAACCCCTGATCTACTGAGAAATGCAGAGAAATAATCTCTGATCCCAAACCTTGATGAATTTCAGAAAAGAATAACCTTGTAGCTGGGTGGAGGAGAAACTCATGATAACCACAATTGAAAATTATGATTCCTTAGAGTTTAATGCATGGAGAAATAACCAGATGAATCACCCTTATTTAATATATATATATATATATATATATATATATATATATATATATATATATATATATATATATATATATATATATATATATATATATATATATATATATATATATATATATATATACGCCTCAAAAAACTGTGAAAATCCTAGCTTTAGAGCCACTGATTCTATTGAACCTATGTGCTTCATTCAATGAAATATATGCTATGTTAGTGCAGATGACCTAATGAAAAGATGTGAATGCAATTTTAAGCCAGATAACAATAAATTAGGAGGGGAAATTTTAAGTTGCAACACTTACTCCTTGGGTTAGTTTATTTCTTATCAAAGTATATAGGAGTGCAGAAGCTGAGCTCAATTCTATAGCAGAGAATTTTGTTAAAGGAATAAGATTCTTCATGAATGAAGGCCAAGTTATAAATATACTTTTGGTCAAAGTAACTAGATTTACGGAAGCCTGTATGTATCTATCTTGCTGTAATGGAATAGTTTTTGTTGGAATTGGGGGGAGTTTCTGTTGTTCTGAAGTTGGAAGACTTTGAAGAAATGTCAGTTATAATTTCTTGACATCTTTGTTTTGAGAATTTATTTTTATCAATATGCCTAGTTGGTGTTTCTCGCAAATATGATGGAGGTTGTTTACTCTAACTTGATACCTCTCATCAAGTCTATGATAACATGGAACTCTTGTTCCGCTAAAGTAGAAGAGACATTCAAGGGGTTATATGCTATGGAGATGTATCAACCTAAGTGGTTGATTGGTGGTTTCATGTTTGGAGTGTCATCCAATCTGCTTGGGATGAGCTTTCCAGTGATGGGCCTTGAAGGATTTGAAGAAGCATACTTTTTCTGAATAGTTTGTTTGTGGCATGATGATCACTCATTACCTTGGTTGTTGTTTGTTAGAGGGAATCTTCTCTTTTGATGCATAATTATGTTGTATAAAGTTCAGAAAAGAAGTCGGAGCTCTGTGCTTATGAGAAGAAAGATGTCAGACCAAATTGTTCTTCTAATTGTGAAGAGGACAACATTATATGTTGTTTATAGACATGTTTCTCTGGTAAAAGTATACATATGATTGATGGTAAATACTCTAATGGGAGTCGTGTATTTTTATGATGTATTGATGCAGAAAGTATATGAGAATATATTTCCTGATGCTTCTTGATATGGTTTGTGGATGAGTACAAGTGTGGTTTCCTTGGGGTTCCTATAAGAGTTATGTTTGAATTACTATGGGTGGTGTCTTCAAATCCATAGTAAATGATTAAGTCCTTGATTTCTGAACTAATGTTGGAACATCATTTCAGTTGGCTGCTTCTCCAACTAAGGAGATGTGTTTTAAACTCATGATGGAGTAAAGTCACTAGCCTGATTTGGCTTAGTGTGCGGTGTGTATATTTGGTATGACTATTTGGAATGATGAAGATCCACTTATGTTGAGTGGTGTGTAAAAGAAGGAAGTCAGACCAAATCTTCTACTTAGTGTGAGAAGGTGGTATTATCTGTTGTTTGTCTCTCTCAGAGGGAACTGTGAAGAAAGGATCCTGTGAAAATGCTCTATTGATAAAGGTATGCACTTGGCTGATTTCAAATACTCTGACGGGAGCTGGGTATTTGTCTGATGTGTTCATGCAGAATTATATTCTGAATATTATGATTCAGAAAGTGATTGGGAGTTAATTTATCTTCATAGATCTCTGGTGTGTGGTAGCATCATATGTTGTGTTTGCATGAATATATGTTCCTCTGATGAAGATGTGCATGTGAATGATGGAAAATATTTTGATGGGAACTGGATATTTGTTTGATGGGTGTATGCAAGTCTACTATCTGAACTCTTTGCTTCAGAAAATGTTTGAGAGGTTGTTACTCTTAATGGTATATAGGGAGATGGTTTCTTCAGCTATAAGGGAGGATTGTAGAAGCAAACTGGGAATTTAGGTTCTGGAGTTTGTGATCTGTCAAACGAATTGTGCATGTGACTGGTGTAAATATATTGACGGGAGCTATGTATTTTTCTGATGTATATATGCAAGTCTGCAATATGAACACTATAATTAAAAAAAGTGTATGAGAGTTTATTTTTCTCTCTGGTTCTCTGGTGTGTGTTAGCTACTGAAGTTGTGCTAAGATTTTTGTGGTGGAGATTCTTTTAAGTTGTGTTAAATATCCATAGTTATATGCATGCTAAAGGGAAGCTCTGCTCAAACATGGATCTAAGGAATGTGCGTCAGTTGTTCTTCAAAAGCTGATGCATCTGATGTTATAAAGGACTGTGCAAAAATCAAAAGACTTGGATGTACTCTAATGAAGCTACAATATCTGATTCAGGATTGTCTTGACAAGGGTGTGAATGTGTTCAGCAAGGAAAGCTTAATGAAAATTTGTGGAAGATGACTTACCTCTGGTGAGGTTGGGATGTCAGACAAATATGGTGATACTTGGCTTCCAAATATGTAGTTGGTTTTCTCTTGACAGAGCATGCTTAACTCCTAGCCATGTGAAGCTAGTTGTTTGAATCATGTGCTCACCTGCTTCTTGGGAAGATTCAAAAGGGAAATCTTGGTTGTGTTTGGGAGAATTTATTTTTCTCTGTAGATTTTGGTGGAACACTATACAGATTCTTGGTCTGGGAAACGCCTTAGACTGTTTTGGTGAAGAATCTTTTTGGTTGAGATTTTAGACAATGTATGATAGAATGCCAGGACATTTTTCAAGACATGTTTTTTTCTTGAGGCCAAACAAGGAAGTTTTTGGACGGTGCGATCTATACACGTCAGGAGGGAGTGTACATCTTGTATGTTGACCATGCATGCGCTCTTATTGGAAATAACTCTTTCTATAAGACTCTGTCCAGAGTTAATAAAAGCAGTCAAAAGCTTTTTTGGAAGGTGCATTTTTTTGGCTATTTTCCTCAAATAACCTTCCTTTTTGACCAAGACCATTGTTTGAGTCAAGGATTGTTAATTCCTAAGTAACTTACTCAGTCTAGAACTAGTAATTTCTATGTCATTGCTTGGGTACTTATTGAGGCTATTCTTTCTCTTCCTTTCGTATTCTGATGTTTACATAAGTCCTTATGGCTTTTCTTCGGGTATGGGTAATTATCAGTTGGGTATGGTCTTGTGAGGGATTTGTTTGTCAATTTTTGGCCAAAAAGGGGGAGAGTTATATTGTTCAGATGTTGTTCAGTCTGAGGTCTAATAGAATGTTGAATAGAATGTCCTATTCTAGTTTGGTATTCTTGAGTGCTTTTGTATCTTGTAATCTGAGTTATGAACATAATTGTGTCTTGTGTTCTGAGTTATCCAGGAGTAATAGTGAGATCCCTTAGGTTGAATGGTGGTTGCTACTTAATGGTTCTCTTATGCCACTGGGTCCTCTTATGTCACTCCTTGCGAGGAAGGGTCCTGGATCAAGGGGGAGTATCTTCATCCCTGTGAGGAATATTTCTAGATTGATCTTATCAAATCATCCTCATCCTGGATTGTTTAGGATGAAATGTCTTCAGGATTTTCTGCTCCTAGTTATTTTTTGGGTTTATTGTGCAAAAGGAGCTTCAGCTAAAGGTTTGTGGATCTGCAATTTCAAAGGAGATTTAGCCAAAATTTTCCAAAAGGGGGATATTGAAAGCTCCAAATATCTGAGCTCTAAATGTTTGACTATTTTTGCTAAAATTGAATGTTG